GTTTAGTAATTGCATTTTTTCAAGGTCGAAGGCTTGAGGGGAAATTTCCTACAGAAATGGAAACCAATAGAGACAGTAACCAGTCTGGTTGCATTGAATTGTTGGGTTAGGTTGGCATAAATCATGCATTAGTCGACACTCTTCTAATATACTCCCAGTGAAATAATTTTGTAGATTATATTCATGAGAAATGTACAAACTGGCACCAAACGTAAAGTGCAAATGAGAGGCAATAAGAGTTCCGGGAGGGAAGTCACATTTCTAAGTTTGTAGAAAACATCCTTAAAAGGTGACATGATCCATTTTGACCAGGAACCTGGTAAAGGGCGTGTTATACCCTAGGGCTAATGGGTAAAATCTCCACAGCTAGGGGGCCAGTTTGGAGTTGTGTTTGTTTGACAGGCGGCTCCTAGAAAAGTCTCAGAGGGTGGAAGCCATCATCGCCTCCATGCAGGCTACAGGTGCAGAGGAGGCCCAGCTACAGGAAATAGAGGAGATGATCACAGCCCCTGAACGCCAGCAGATAGAGACTCTCAAACGGAACGTCAACAAGTAAGCATCCTACACGTCAGGCCTCCGTTTCAAATACCTTCCAGGCTCACCCACCTCTCCACGTTGACACAAACAACCCTGAACTCACTATCTTTTCCAGCTCACCTAACAGAATCTAATCCACCTATTTCCCCAAACTGAACTCTGAAGACATCCTCAGCTTCTCCTCCCTCACCACACACCTTGTTCACCAAGGTTGTTGATTTTACTTCAGTTCATGTGTTTCAAATCTGGCCTTCCGTCTTGGTCCCCAAGGTGAGAGAGACATATCAACTGGTTGCCTCCCACATGCACCCTGACCAGGACTCAAACCCGCCCCCCTCTGGTATATGAGATGATGCTCCAACCAACTGAGCTACACCAGCCAGTGCTAAAACTAACTTTTGTGTTTGATTTTATATCCTGCCACTTTTAAAGTTTTATTTGTTGACTCTTTAGTTTTTTTGTAGATCCTTTGAGATTTTTCTGTTTGGGATCATGCCAATCTGAATGCCTTGTATTTCTTTTTCTTACCTAATTGCCTGGCTAGAACCTCCAGTAAAAGGTTGAATGGAAGTGAAAGGCAGACATCCTTGTCTTGTTCCGATCTTAAGGAGAAAGCTTTCAGTCTGGCACCATTAAGGATGATGTTAGCCGTGGGGTTTTCAGAGATGGCTTCAATCATGTTGAGGAAGTTCCCTTCCATGCCTAATCACTACTCAGTTTAGCCGCAGCCGCTTTCAGCTTCTATTTTAAAACACGCTGGAACCTTCTATGCCTTTACATGTGCTATTCTTTCTCCTGGTTGCAAGTTAGACTTTAACTTCTCCCAGGAGAGGGTGTATCTTTTGAATCCTCAGCAAGTTCCACAGTGCCTGGCATTTAAGAGATGCTCAGTAAATGGGAGAATGATCTATTGGTTTCCTGCTTTCTACCCATTAATCTCAAGGGTAACCAAGCAATTCTGCATGGCCACACCGCGCCCAGCCTCTCACTGTAAATCTGCTAGTAAGTGTTCAGTCTGGGCAAATGCTCTCACTTTTCACTCAGGCTGGACGCCAGCGAGATCCAGGTGGACGAAACTATCTTCTTGCTGGAGTCGTACATAGAGAGCAACACGAAGAGGCAGTGACCCTGAAGAAGAGTCTTCCTCAAAGACCTGCGGGGTTGGAAGGAGAAATAAAGGAGCTGCCTGGATGCATTCTTCGCAGTGGGATAAACTACGGATTCTTGTACTGAAACCCTCTATCCCTGCCTCCTAGAATACACCAGCTTGCTGATCCTGTCTTTGAACCATCACTACATTCTCTCCTCCTTGGCAGGAAAAAGAAACTTAGATCCCACCCAGAAGTCAGCCCAGCCTGTTTTTGAACATTCCTGGCCGTGAAGAAACTTCTTCAGTCCATTACATTTTCAAAAAGCTATACCTGTTTCCCGGCTGGTGTCACTCAGTGGTTGAGTGTCGACCCATGAACCAGGAGGTCACGATTCAATTCCCAGTGAGGGTACATGCTCAGGCTGTGGGCTCAATCCCCAGTAGGGGGCATGCAGGAGGCAGCCAATCAGTGATTCTCTCTCATCATTGATGTTTCTATCCCTCTCCCTCTCCTTTCCTAAAAATTAAAGTAAAAAGAAAAAAAAACAGCTATGCCTGTTCTTTGTTACACTGTAATCTTAAACACACACACACACACACACACAGTGTAGGGAGTATAATATGAAAGACTGCCACCAAGTAGGGGAAAAGTCTATTTTCAGGGCTAGCAGGTGGATTGGCCCAAGCAAACACTCTATTATCTATGGATAGAAGCCACATTTGCCAGCCCCAAACTTCTAGCACAGTGGTTCTCAACCTTCTAGCCCTATAAATACAGTTCCTCATGTTGTGAGCCAACCATAAAATTATTTTTGTTGCTACTTCATAACTGTAATGTTGCTACTGTCATGAATCATAATGTAAATATCTGATATGCAGGATGGTCTTAGGTGACCCCTCTGAAGGGGTCGCGACCCACAGGTTGAGAACCACTGTTCTAGCACATCCAAAATTACGCATGTAAAGCACTTAGCACAATACCCCGCATGAAGTAAGTACTCAATAAGTCATTGCCTTCCTCTTCCTGGTTCCTTAAAGGTGAGTCTGCTGTCTCTCTCAGCACCATGATTAATATAGTAGTTAATGTAATTTGTCAGAGCAGCTTCAGTCATTTAAAGCAGTCAGGTTTTGTTTTATAATCTCTTCCGTTTCCTCTTACCGATGTTGGTTCTAATTCATTAAGCATTTAAGTGCCAATTAATTGCTAGCCTTTATCTACACTAATAAAAATACAAACATGCAAATTGACCGTACATTCACTATGCCTTAAGCCATGCCCACCAGCCAATCAGAGTGACTATATGCAAATTAACCCAACCAAGATGGTGGCCAGCAGCCACCGAGCTGGAGCAAGCAGAAGGCTTGGTTGCCCCAATGATGGAGGAAGCCAAGCTTCCTGCCACGGCCCGGCTCTGAGCTCCACTCAAAGCAACAAAGCTTCAATTATAGAAGATAGATAAACCCCAGATACCTGCTTTCAGCTGGCTGTGGCCACGGAGCTGGAGCAAGCAGGAGGCTTCCCTCCTGTCTGTCCTGGCCGGCTCTGAGCTCCTCTCAAGGTTACAAAGTTTCAATTGTGTAAGGTAAATAAATCCCAGAATAAAAAGGAGAAGCTGGGAGCTTCCATCACCAGGGGGCTTGGCCAGCCTGAAAACGGCCCTCAGCCCCTCACCCAGACTGGTCAGGCACCCCTGTGGGGACCCCCACCCTAAAGGGGATGTGGCCAGCCTGAAAACAGCCATCAGCCCCTCACCCAGGCTGGCCAAACCTCCATGGGGTGAGGGTC